TTGACTATGTGCAGTGCAGCATTAATGACATCCAACACAAACAATAGTGAACCATAAACTGCAGCACTTTCTCAATAATGTAATTTAATTTCTTTATTTTATCTCCAATAAATAATCTAATGGTGGGAACTTGTAATTTGATGCACTGTATTAAAAAAGAAGCTGTGTTAATCATTTTACCGTCACCGTGCAGTAGACACCCATATGTGATTGTGTTACATAACACCTCTTGTATAACTCAAATGGAAACTGTGGTAATGTTTGTGTTACTTGTTTTTTAAAAGGAGGCATTTTCAACAAAATACAGCATTAAATAATGGAAAAAACTCTTACACAAAGATGCTGTTTTATCAGGGATGAACTCATGATTATGAGGTCTAATGTATAAGAAATGTAAGCAGTGTAAAATATTACTTCATTTGTGGTTTTGCAATAACATTTATCAAAAAAGATTCCCACTTGTTGTTCAAGATATTAAGGGTTTTATTCACCTTTTATTGTTATCGGCTAATATGTTGAAATTATTTCCAACAAATTAGACATTTATAACAAGGCTTGTAAATTGTTATGCTTGGTTTTAACAAAACTTTCAAGGTGAGTGACAAATGGCAAAGGAAAGACATTACAGTAAATGTAAATTGAAACAAGTTTGTCCTGTTCATAATGACCTTTTAAACTTGCCTCCTAATGTGATTTCAAACTAAGTAATGGGAGAAAAGTGCACATGCTAATATCCTCTTTGTGTTAGCAGCCCTAAACTGAAACTCTGCACAGAAACACTATCTGGGTAAAAAAAGGGGAAGTTGCACAAGAAACAATTTGAATGTTGTTCCCCATCGCTTACATAGAATGCATTATAAGAAGAAAGAGCCTGTATTAACAGGAATGATGACTGCAGTAAAACATTTATTTCGAAATAGGTCTGCATATTAGCATGAGTTTTTTGTATCAAATAAGGAAGTCATGAATTGTGTATTTTATGTTGGTTACATAAAGATACAAACTCAGAACATCAGGAAACAGGCGGGGCTAGTCAGTTAGCATGCTAATTTCCGTAGATATCTCTGCAACACAACACATAGACGTCTTTGAAGACACGTAAACACTTTAGGCTATTCGCATTCCACGTTCTCTTTTTTTACGTTTTAATGATAAATGATGGCTTATCTTACACATTTAAGAAGAGGAAATGAAACAGATGTTGTTGAAAACGCCTTGGCTGTTTGTTTTGTGGCTGTTGTTCAAATCGTGTTTTCTTTGTGTCACTTCAGTGTTTTACCTGAGAAAGTACACCTTTATTTCTTTCATATACACCACCAATGTAGTATACCTTATACCCCTTCCGATCAAAAACCTGATTATTGCAGTAGTTTCATCTTAATACTTACCGAGGTTGATTCTCTTCAACTTGTCTCTCTCCTCAGTCAGGGAGTTTTGCTGTGAAACTGTCATTTTCAATTTTGCCTCCAGATCTAAAACAGAATTCTCATTGTATATTATGTTAATCTATCAATGATAATGTATGGATCCATGTTTCCTTTTCTTATTCCAACACCATATCATGTTTTCAGGAAATTCATTCTGCTAAACTGTCCTGTTGAATGGAGAGGCTGTCATTATTTTTCAACAGAACCATATCAGTTATACAGGATATGTTAGGTTCAGTAACGTATATTTGTGAAGAAAATAAATATTGTGATCACCGTTATCAACAACAGCTGTATCATATCCTCTGTTTAAATGTGTAAGATAAGTAATTTAAATTTAAAACGTAAAAAAAATGAACTATCATTATCAACAGAATGTGAAGAGCTTACGATGTTGACGTAACTTCAAAAACATCTATATGTTGTTTTGCAGAGATAAGCATGCTAACTGACTAGCCGCTGCACGTCGTTCAGCATGCATGTGTCTTGATGTTCTGAGTTTGTATCTTTATAGTTTATAATAATAATAATAATAATTCATTTATTTTATATAGGCGCCTTTCAAGGCTCTCAAGGTCGCCGTACAAACACACAAAAAACAAGATACACAATAGATAACACCAGCATAAGAAACATAAACAAGCCAATGCAGTATATAAATCAATCAAATAACCAAATAAATAAAAACAGAGGATGTGTGATGGATAATGATCAGGTTTTATATGCGAGTGTGAAGAGATATGTTTTGAGGCGTGATTTGAAAATGGGGAGAGAGTCAGTATTGCGGATGTCAGATGGGAGGGAGTTCCAGAGGCGGGGTGCAGAGCGGCTGAAGGCTCTAGACCCCATGGTGGTTAAACGGAAGGGGGGTGCAGTGAGGTGGAGGGAAGCAGAAGACCTGAGTGTGCGGATGGGTGTGTTAATGTGCAGGAGGTCGGAGAGGTACAGAGGAGTGAGGTTATGGATGGCCTTAAAGGCGAGGAGCAGAATCTTAAAAACGATACGGGATTTGACGGGGAGCCAGTGAAGTTGCTGAAGAACAGGAGTGATGTGGTTAATGGAGGGGGTTCTGGTGAGGGAAGTGACCAGGGTGTGAACAAGAATGGCGGTGGTCTAGGGTTAAGGGACGGGTGGAGGCGGTTGATGTTGATGGTTATTGCACCTATTGTAGGTTGCTTTGGATAAAAGCCTCAGATAAATTAAATAATATTTTGTTACCTAATGTGATATTCAGTACCGATTTGGTACGATATACCCAACCCTCTCTCTTCAGTCTGCGTACAAATGACACCACTTTACACATTGGAAATGCGTGCAATAGATACGCAGAAGTCCGATTTTGCGTGCATATGATACGCTAACCATTCCCATTGAGTTCTGAGGCCGAGTTTTGCGTGCATATGATACGCCACGTTTCGTGCCTGCACCACTTATTTTTGTCCGGTCGGGTCTTGGTAGACCGGAAGCTGTGTGGTTCATAAAAACATGTTCTTACTCAATACCAAGCCACGATTATTGTTTTTATTTTAAATCGTATAATGTCGGACTTTTTTTGCCGTCTGTGAGGAAAAGAAATGGGGCTCAGAGTCTCAGAAAAATGAAATCAGCTGTGCACCGTTATGGCGTAAATACAGCCTATCTACCAATTGGATCAAATATAAAAGTCAGCCGAATTAGTGTTGATACTGCAAGGAGACGTATTGTGTGAAAAGAAATGTAAGATGTTGTTTAATTGCTTATATATTTAAGATCCACGTCAAGTTTTCAGTTTTGGCGGCAGTTCCTGTTTGTCTAGAAGTCTTGTCATTAGGGCTCTCTAAATAGAGTTAACATCGGCAGATATGTAATATTTAATGCCGCCGAAACGTGTATTACAATGCCGTTATGTGATGACTTTCAAAGAGAAAAGCAAGCACACTCGGAATAATGTATTATTTAATTTTTTTATACAGTCTATGGTTGCTACAGAGGATTGTGGGTAATGTCCATCAAACTTCCGGGTTCCTCCATGGGATCTTATTTCGGAAAAAGTATGCATTGAAGTCAATGGCGAGAGAAAGATTATCTTTCGATCCCGTTTGAATTGTGCCATGAATTACACATATGATGTTTGTCAATCTTAAATAATAATTTCCATGTCAAAAAAGTCACAGTTTGTCGTAAAACTGTTGAAATATAAGACTATGAAATGTGTGTGTATGTATAGCTCTCAACATGCCCAGACTTGTAGTGATTTTCACCTCTTTTAATACTTTTAATACCACATTACGTCACACGTTTGATGCGCGCCCGTGATTGAACATCTCTTTATTTAAAAAATACGGGGAATACGGATCTCGGGGTCTCCCTGCTCCCTGTGCGACGCGTCATATGATGTCACATGTTTGGCATGTCTCGATTGAATATGCTTTATTTAAAACAAAAACAAGGACAATAAACAAAGCAGTCTTCACAACGGCCGGACAAAATACTTTGAGCCGCCCTATAGCCAAAGCCCGAGACACTGTTTAAAGCATAATAAAGACAATATATAGAGAGCATAATGTTTTTAATGCAATGCAGTCTCGCTTCAGCAGAGAATGGCCCGCGGCGGACAGCCTATGGACCGCGGCGGACAGCCTATGGACATCCCGGAAAGTTGAAAATGTACGCTAAGGGCCGCCCCCCTTGCGTTGGAAAAAGCCGATACAGGGGACTTGACATAACGTCAACATAGGCCGACCTGGGAGTGAGGATGTGTTGGTTTGTGCGCTGGGCGAATGCTAATGCTAATAATGCTAATGCTAAAATAGCGGCTCTACAAAACATTTCAGAGTTTTACGGGGCGTGGTTTGTAATTCGCCCAGCCAATCAGAACTGGGGCACTTTTTTCCCCCAGGAAAGTACCATCTCTCAGCAGGCACTAAAAATGGGGGTAAAAGTTCCCGGCACTCAGTACTCTTTTTGGTGTGAACGCGACATACTAACGGAACTAAACGCGAAAAGTACGGTGAAAAGTACTCCAGTGTGAACGTGGCTATTGTGGTTGTGATTGTGCGTTTTTCTCCCCACGACAAGGAATACATAGCAAGTTTTCGTAAGAAGGTGTGGATTGGACTCACTGATCGAGAGACAGAGGGCAGATGGAAGTGGGTCGATGGGAGCCCGCTGACCACAAGGTTCACTCATTATTTCACTTTTCTATTGTCAAGGTGAGCTCTGACAGACACTCGCTCTGCAGCTTTATGTCATACATTTTGTCCTTTAAAAGCTTATTTCATGTCAGATAACAAACCAGACATAGGATAGACATTTATTTTTCTATCTCTATCAATCTCAAAAAAGCATTTTGATTTGAGTTGATGTCAGGTTAAAATGTATTATTATGTTGTCTTTGGGGGTTTCAGCTACTGGTACACCGGTGAGCCAAATGGAAATTGGAAGATGGACGAAGACTGCGCAGAAATATTTCACGAAGATGTAAGAAACAGCTGGATAGATAGTTATTGCAGTGATACAAATCGATGGATATGTGAGAAGAGATTGGCATAACTCCACATCTATGCACACAAAACGATGAGGATAGTTTCTGGGTTCTACACACAGGAATGAAAATGTACAGACTGGTTGTTGTGATTTTGGGACTCCTGTGTATCCTACAAGCTGCTCTCATCATTTACCTAAGTAAGTCTTCTTAATTTGTGCCTCTCACTTCTGTAGCCAGTGCAAGTGATAACCGTCCCTGTTTCAATTATAATTTGTGCAAGATATGACGATCACTTGTTCTGAATGCTTTAGAAAAAAGAAAATAACTGTGTATTAGGGTGTGCAATATGACCTTACATTTTAAATATAAAAAGTTATTTACACAACTCAGGGAAATTTTATTAATATTCATTTCAACAGTATGTGTGAATGTATTTTTAATTCATTGTATTGAACAATAATTGCTCTGAAATAATTATAATCAAAACCAGCTCGGTTAATTTGTTTTAAAGTGAATACTTTCTTCAGTTGATCCAATTATCATAGTTGGTAACCTCTCCACTGAAAATAACAGTTTCACAGCAAAACTCCCTGACTGAAGAGAGAGACCAGATGAAGAGAATTAAGGGTCGTGTCTTCCTATAGTATAGGCAGACTGTGCAGATGCATAGGGCCCCCGCGGCCACTAGGGGGTCCCCAAGCTGAAAGTTCAGGTTCAGCCCCCTCCTGTGTTCGGTGAAGCATTATATGCTTAAAAATAAAATGTAGGATATAAACACAATTAAACTGCAATGATAGCAAAGCTGTGGCTTGTGTTTTTTGGGGGAATAAAGTCAAAATCATCGTTGGGCTGTTACCCAATGAGTGACGTCTGAGGAAGATGAAAAATGTAAATTATACATTGTTGAGAAAATGCTGCATCTCTTGCACTTATTGACGTAGAGGAGCCTTATTGTTTACCTTTTTAATATAATTCTTTGTACGTTTCAATTGCTTGGTTTTCATGAAATTAGCCTGTTTTCCTCTTAAAGTGTAACAGATGGATGCATCTCCACAGATCATCTTAAAGGCTTCGGAATCCGCCCATTGTAGTTAAAAAACTGTAAAAACTAGGGCCCACAAACAGCATCTTGCATAAGGCCCCCACAAAGCTAGAAACGGCCCTTGAATCAACCTTGGTAAGTATTGAGATGAGACTTCTGCAATAATCAGGGGTTTGATCTGAAGGGGTATATCGTACGTAATCAGTACTAAATATCACATTAGGTTACAATATATTATATTTTTTTATCTGAGACTTTTATCCAAAGCAACATACAATAAGTGCAATAAACCATAAAGATACAAACTCAGAACATCAAGAAACATGCAGATCAGTCAGCATGCTAACTGATGGGCGACCAGCTAGTCAGTTAGCATGCTAACTGATGGGCAACCAGCTAGTCAGTTAGCATGCTAATCATGTAATTTCTGTAGAAATCTCTGGAACACGTAAACCTCTTTGAAGACACGTCAACACTTTAGGCTCTTCACATTCTGCTGATAATGACAGTTCATTAGTTTATGTTTCAATTATAAATTCTGGCTTATCTTACACATTTAAGAAGAGGAAATGAAACAACTGTTGTTGAAAACGCTTTGGCTCTTTGTTTTGTGGCTGTAAGAGGGAACACAATATTTTTTTCTTCACAAATATACTTAACTGAACTAAACATACAATATACCTTAATACTTATCTGGTCCATTCAACAGGATTGTTTGGCAGAAATAATTTCCTGTAAACATGATATGGTGTTAGATTAAGAAAAGGAAACAAAGACCCATACATTATCATTGATAGATTAACATAATAGACATTGGGAATTCTGTTTTAGATCTGGAGGCCAGTGGCAAAAACCTGACTGAGGAGAGAGATGACCTGAAGAGAACTGTGAAGGACTATGGTAGGTACAATGATAAGGTCAATTGTTAAAGTGAAATAGACACTTGAGCTTTTGACTCCTGTATTTTCTACAAGCTGCTCTCAATGTTTCCCTCTGTTTTGCTCTTTTAAAGTCTTAATTTGTGCCTCTCACTTCTGGTGCAAATGGTCAACACCCAGGTTTGAGTATCAAACTTTACAGTAGTTACCCTGATTGCTTTTGAGAAACATATCCCTGTACATCAGGGTATACATACAATAGGATCAGAAATACAAAATAAATATATTACTTTTTTTACTGAACTATAATTTGTGCTTTATTTTCAACAAAGCCAGCTCAGACATTAGTTTTTACACTCAATCATATGTTTATTTGGACACATAATCACATTTTGTTGGTAACCTCTTCACTAAAATTGAAGTTTCAGAGCAAAACTCCCTGACTGAAGAGCGAGACAACTTGAAGAGAATCAACCTTGGTAAGTATTGTGATGAAAGATAAGATAAGATAAGATAAGACTTTATTAATCCCGAAGGAAATTGTTGTGCCAGAGTTACAAAAATACAATAAACACAGCAGCATAATAGTAAAACTGTACACTTAAAAGTGCAGTAAAAAGAGCAATTAAATATCTACAGGAAACATGAAACATAGACGGTCACATAATTAATGTAATTATTACCAGTATATAGTAGTGCAAAAACTACTGCAATAATCAGGGGTTTGTTCTGAAGGGGAATATCGTACCTAATCGGAACTGAATATCACATTAGGTAACAAAATATTATTTAATTTATCTGAGGCTTTTATCCAAAGCAACCTACAATAGGTGCAATAAACTATAAAGATACAAACTCAGAACATCAAGAAACATGCATGCTGACCGACGTCAGCATGCATCAGCAAAGTTCCCTAAAAGCTTTTTTTTCAGTATTAAAAGGAAACAAACATCACAATAGAATTTCTGTTTCAGATATGGTGGCAACTAACAAAAACCTGGCTAAGGAAAGAGACGATCTGGGGAGGACTCTGAGAGCCGGGGGTAAGTCTGATAATGAAATCAATTTCGGTGGGCCTTTATGTCATACGGTAGATACCACCTTAGTACTTTACTTAGTAGATTAAGCATCTGGTAATTTATGTATAAATGTTTTATCGTTCGTTCTGTTTTCCACTATTCTTATCAAGGATGGAAGTACTTCAGCGGTAGTCTCTATACCATTTCTTCTATCAATAAAAACTGGCAAGCGAGTAGGGATGACTGTCTTCAAAAAGGGGCAGATCTGGTGATTGTCAACAGCCAAGAAGAACAGGTGAGTGTGTGTGTGTGTGTGTGTGTGTGTGTGTGTGTGTGTGTGTGTGTGTGTGTGTGTGTGTGTGTGTGTGTGTGTGTGTGTGTGTGTGTGTGTGTGTGTGTGTGCGTGCGTGCGTGCGCGTGCGTGCGTGCGTGCGTGCCTGTCTGTGTGCGTGCGTGTGTGTGTGTGTGTGTGTGTATGTTTGGTTTGTGTGTGTCACAGAAGTGGTTGATAGCATGTCACGGTTTATATAGTGGTTGTGATTGTGCGTTTTTCTCTCCACAACAAGAAATACATAACAAGTTTTGGTGAGCGCGTGTGGATCGGACTCACTGATCGAGCGACAGAGGGCAGATGGAAGTGGGTCGATGGGACTCCGCTGACCACAAGGTTCACTCATTATTTCACTTTTCTATTGTCAAGGTGAGCTGTGACAGACACTCGCTCTGCAGCTTCGGAGAAATTATTTGTATATTAGTATCCTATCTACCTCTCTGAACACAACTACATTTTGGGATGTCCTTTAAAAGCTTATTTCATGTCAGAAAACAAACCAGACATAGGATAGACATTTATTATTCTATCTCTATCAATCTCAATAAAGCATTTTTATTTGAGTTGATGTCAGGTTGAAATGTATTATTATTTTTCCTTTGGGGGTTTCAGCTACTGGTACCGAGGTGAGCCAAATGGAAATTCGAAGCTGGACGAAGACTGCGCACAAATATTTCCCGCAAATGTAGGAGAAGGCTGGCTAGATTACCATTGCAGTTATACTACAAATCGATGGATATGTGAGAAGAGATTGCCATAACTCCACATCTATGCACACAAAACGATGAGGAAAAAAAACAGGAAAAAGTTGCATTTCTCATTTTCAGCCTAAATTCAAATGTGGAGGTCCAGGTGGGCGAGGGGTTGGACTCTCACGTAGATATCTGGAGTCACGTCGTATCTCATATTGGGAGACGACGTGACTCCCAATATGAGAGAAGGGGAAGGTGTTTGACTATGTGTATATGTGTGAGTATGTAGGTGTGTATATGTATGTGTGCATATATGTATATCAGTGTAGGTATGTGTGTGTATGTATATGTGTATATGTATATATGTCAATCAACAGGTAAAGCAGATTAATAATAATAATAACAATAATAATGAATAATAATGATACTTATTGCAGATTATAGATTATAAATAAATAATTTAGGGACAAGGGGGTGAGATTAAATAAATTATACTTCTTCTCACTCCTTTTCGAACACTAGATGTGGCACTGTTTATGTTGCTAATGCTGTTGCTGTTGTTGTAAATGTCATTTTTTGTTTTGATTTCTCTTACATGACTATGCACTGCAACATTTGTTTTGTTTTGTAATTATTCATTTTACTTGTTCGAAATAAATGTATCAATCAATCAATCAATCAATCAATATTTAGGATTATTTAAAAAATGTAATTGCAATTTCTAAATGTGTCTTTTCTCTGCTTTTGAGATTATAATATTGGCTGCCTGCTTTTAGATTCTCTTATTTCAATCATGCCAACTTGAAATCATGTCCTAGTGTTGTGTCTTAGAGATGTAATGATTTTATTTTATTTTCAAAACAAAGTCTGAGTTTTCCGATGAATCCCTCACTATAAAATAGACTGAGCTGCATTTGACAAACAGGTCAAACCATTGTTGTGTTTTTTTGTAAGGCATATGAGAAATGAATGTTGCAACAAGAGGACTTGAATCTTCTCCAAGTCTTGTTGATGAAGAGCAGTTCTAAAATTATAGAGGGAAGTGCAATTTTGTAACTAACCAAATCTTCTCCCTTCTGGGTAAACTATGCTTTTAATGTTTTCCTATTTTTTATTTTATTTTAAAAAGAATTCAGAGTTTGTTGTAAAAAAGTGATGTCAGTACTTACTGTAGCATACTACTGGATGATTATGTAAGTTAAGGGGTTTATTTTACACCGGATATTGGTGATCATTTAATTGTGAATGTGTTTAAATTGTAGGTGATATTTAGAAAAAATGTCAAACTAATAAGTACAGAGATAACCAGTTCAGGTGCAGATAAATAAGGGTAGAATATAGTCATTCAAATAATAAAAAATTAAAGAACATGAAATGTCTTTGCATTACAGATGGAGCGTCTTATTTTGGACAGTTTAAAACGCGAGGGTCGTGATTGGTTCGTGCACGGTCCGTGATGGCCGGCCGGCCCCCAGTCTGACTTGATACCGCCCCCGTGATAAATAAATTTAATTATTGTGAAGCCAGCTGCAATGGATCATTGATCCACCAGGGGGTGCAGTGGGGTTCCACACTGGAGTCATGTGTGGAGTCTTGTACAGTATGTCTGGTACTAATGTATAGCGGATCTTTGTTAAGATCCATATGTCACGGATAGGATCATAGTCTGTGCTAAATAAGACATGTAATCATTTACAAAACATCACCATGTTGTTATTTAACAAAATAATGTTGTTTAGTCGAAAAAAACGAACGAGCCGGCTCTCCCGATTTTTAATCCTAATTTAATCATCATCATTGTTTATGTTCGCCGAATTGACATGAAATCACTGACAAATATGAATATTCTGTATTCAACTTCATTGAAACGATCAGGATGGGTGTTATTTTTCCCGTGTATTACATGGCCACATTCTCAACAAAGTTACGTAACGAAACATTCTGTATTCCTTGCTTACTTCCTTAAACCTTTTCTCCTCCTTATCTCTTTCATGACTTTTTATTTACAGTTGACTATATTCAACTTCATTAAAATGTTATTAACGTGCCTAAACTCAGTAATTCACTAAAAATTACTGATCCCTCCGCGTCGCATCGCGGAGGGATCTTGATCCCTGGGTGTTATTTTTCCCCATAATGACCAAGTCGCTGCAAATTATCCCGCTTATTACATGGCCACATTCTCAACAAAGTAACGACATGACTCCCAATATTAATTAAAATGCTTTTATGGATTTACAAAATATTTTTATTGATTTAAAAAATAGTTGTATGTATTGATTTAAATTGACATGCATCCGCTAAGAAAAATAGTCCGTTGTTACCATTTTTTAAACAGTCAGAATGAAACGGCAGCTCTCAGCTGTGTGTTTACACTCCTAATGGCCCATCACAGCTCTCCCCCCCGCCCCCCTGATCTTTCTTTTCCAACAGTTAAGTTAACTGTAGGTTACTCTGAGTGACAAGCTTACAGTTAGTGAAGTAACACTTTTTTTTTGTGAGTCCCAACCTCGCTGTTTCATTATAACATAACGCTCCAAATACGACTGTTTCCACTCGGACTTCAATACAGCAACAACATTGTTTGGTTTCCATGGTAGCGTGTCTCTTTAGTAGCGTGCACTCCTTTCCTGTAAATTACAGGTCCAGCCAGGCAAAACAGTAATATGAAATATGAACGTTAGTTTTTAACTGAAATGATCAAATAAAGTCAAAATGTCACAGTGTTTACAAACATTGACCATACCGTTCACCAGCCCCCACCCCCATATGTTGAATATAGCTTTGTTTAAAACGAATTGGCCATCGGAATGTGTGTGTCCCAACCCCCCCCCTGTGATATCTCTTCTCCAGCAGTCTGTAGGTTTGTGTTCGCATATTTATGCTGTCGCAGTTCCTCTTGTTTCTATCGCGCATTGCCGGTATGAAAGGGTCTGTGCCGGAAATATCAAGATAACACGGCAGGGTCCGTTACAGTTTGTTTTCATCTGATTTCAAATAAACAAAGTCTTGGCTTTCAGAATATTAAACTTGTTTCGGCAAATTTAGATGATAAATACAACTATGAAGCTTGTAACGGCATAATTACTTAAGCGGAGAACGGAGTAAGTTAACGTTACAGCAGGCATAACAACAGCCGGTGTTTATTTTATTATAATATATAGTCGTTATTCATTTGTTTTAACTAAATAGGCCACCATTGGTAGCAGTTCTCATTATATACTTCTCAGTAACTGCTCCCCTTAAATTAAATGTAAACGTTCACCATCCCCCACCCGCCTACTGTATGTTGCTTTTTGACATGTAAATGAGTAACTACCCCCCTCTGAGTGAATACCTGTTGTACCTGTCCGGGGCTAAGCCCATAGGACGATGCTCTGATGTCATCACCCTCGCACATTTGTCATATGTTTACAAAAAACGATGTTAACACTTTCTCGTTCTTAATATATGCTATATTTAGGGTCGATATGTGTTGAATTTACTTTAAAATAGCAGATCACTGTGATTCGGCTTAGTGAACGTGTGTCTCTTCTCCGCGGCTCCTCCGTGCAGAGAGGCCCCCCCCCCGTTGACAATTCACGAGCGTCTCTCCCCCCTCCCCCGTTGCACCTTCTAACAGAACCCCCCCCCCCCCCCCACATATCAAATCCCAATTTAACTGCTCTGGAGCAGAAATGACTGAGTTTTAAAAATGTTTACGTTTTGGTAAGTTTTTAGGGAAATGTTGTAATATTGCAACGTTGGCCTTAGGTGGGAGCAGAATTTCTGTATTTCTACTCACATTGTCTGAATAAATATATTGAACAACTAAGGGTTCATTTGCAGGATTGATTGCTTACTTAGCCCTATATCAGTATATAGCATGAATAATAATCACACATCACTCATGTTTGTTATGAATAATCATTTATCAAATAGTAAGTTGCTTTGAATAAAAGCGTCAGCTAAATGCAATTTATGAAAGCCTCACTCAGGATTTTTTTAACAAGTGTTTTTCGACATTGTCAATTTCACTTTCCACTATGTCCACCATTGTTTTTCACAACCAATGGCAGAACTTTATTGAGGCCTGTACTTAGTCAACTACAGGTCTCTTGGGTCAGTCTTTTCTTCCAAAAAGCTTGTGAAAAGATGTTAAGTTAACAGGTATTCACTCAGAGGGGGGTCGGTGATTTATTGCTCTTGGGGCATTAAAAACAAGATTTTAACTTTAGTTTTTTATATAATATCTGCATTTTCTCTTGTGAAAAACTAAGTCTTAGTTTGGCCATAGTTATTTAATATATAGCGCCATCTCCTGGTTAAACCCTGAAATTGGAGAATAGTGGGAGGGCTTAACATTCCTGGATACTGGTCTTTGGCAGGTCTTAGGCAGGTAACTGGCTGGCAGTAGGCAGGAAGCTGTATGCTGGCGTCCGAAATAAGATGCCCCATCTGTATGTGTCACTGATAAACAAAATAATGATGATTTTCTTTGGAAGTAAAAAGAAATGTGTGAATTGTGAATAAAAGTCAAAATTACACAAGGTACACAAGAATCAATACGTCAAAGCTGCAGCAGAGGTTGTAACAGCAAGCGAGTTGTGAACATTAAGGAAGAAGACAGACCATTTGACTTCAAACCAGAAAGAACAAGAGTGGTTTTGCAGTTTTAGACAACGAAGAATAGTGTTTATCATATGCATATGTCTGGTTAATGTTGCATAATGTTTATATTTATGTATTTGCATGGCCGCGTTCGAGTCACTTTGCAATCTCGGCGCGGCTGCTTCTGTTACAACTTTTTTTGGAATGGTTGGAAAATCTCACCATTTGTTTAAGATGCATTGAAGGCTTGGTTGAATTTCCAGTATTACCCCCCAGACACACCAGAAGAAATCCAAAATCAATTAATATGGTTTAACTCAGAAGTTTCAATAGATGGGAAACCACTATTATGGGAAAGTGTCCCGAGAAAAGGAATTTTCCTCATGCGGTCTGTTCTTTCTGGGAAGAGGAATTTAATATTCTGATACCCTGGAAACCATTTTTTAGAACCATATACAAAACAACAATTGATTCCTTTTCAAAAATCTTCCAACTGAAGATTTTTTACAAGATTATCGCTACGAAAACACTTTTAATATTGAACCGTCACCATTTTGTAGATTCTGTGAGGAGGAAGAGGAAGACCAGATGCATTTATTTTTTTATTGTCCATACGTTGCAAGACTGTGGACTGAGATTCAAAATTGGCTTAAGACACTTTATATTGATTTTGCATTTACTCCCTTTGGTGTTTTGTTTGGGCTTTTGGATGAGGACAGTACACAGTTGATGAATACAATTATTCTTCTGGCTAAAATACTTGTTTTTAAA